ATGGGTAAAGCGCAGTGGCTGAGCAGCAGGGAGGCTGGTCCCACCAGGCAGAATAGTTTTCCTCTTCGGTCTTGCCATCTTGCTCTCTGTTTAGATACCTGTCGGGGAAAAAAAGTGTCATCAGTATCGGTATTTACTCTGATGAAGATGAGAAACGGGTTTCTTTTAATATCCAAGGTCTGGGGAAATCCTGCTTAGAGACAAAGGTAGTGTTTTACTGAGCCAGAGACCAGCTTTGGTAGTTGGATTATTGCAATATATATCCCTTTGGGTATGTGATATGTTTAGCAGTTTTCTTAAAATCCTGTCAAACCATCTTTTCTTGCTAACTGTAAATGAGGGGAGCACTGTGTCCTAATTAAGCTGTTTGCTACAAGCAAAGCTCTGCTTCCTGAATCGCTGTGAGAGCAGTTAGCAAATGCAGGAGGCCAGTCCCCGTTGCGGCCGTAGTGGTGGGGGGAAGCCAGATGCTCTTGATTTTTCCTTACAAAGCTGTTGTGGCAGGGGGGGAAATCGGTTTAACGAGATCAGACACAGAAGAGCGAGCCAGGGAGCAAGCAGCAGGGGAGCAGAGGCTGGTGGTGGGGCAGGACCCACCATGATGGAGCCGGTCTCCCGGGGGTGCAGGCACAGCTCCTCCCGGAGATGCTCAGCCCCCTCCCAAACCCTGTGGCCTGCCTTCCCCCGGGGAGGCGTTTGAAGGTTTCGTTTGATTTGCACACCCTGCATAAAGCAGGCAGCTAATCTGAGAACAAACATCTCCTTTAACCCCAGCCAGGCGGACGAGGTCTGGAGCTGCCTGCAGCTCTGGGCAGGACCCCGGGGGAAGGCAGAGCTGCCCGCCCGGGTGACGGGGAATCCCTGCAGCAGATAGGCGCCACGCCAGTCCTGCTTGCTGCCCGCCTCCCCAGGCAGGCTCGCCCAGCAGACTGGCTGGCGGGGCCCCCGGGGCCAAAAAACAGCTCTGCCTCTGCCTGTTTATAGGGGCAGCCACGGAGGTGGGGCTGAGCTCTTCCCCCTCCGTCAGCATCCCAGGGTACGGGAGAGTGAGCGCTCGGGGTAGTGAGTAACGGGACTGGGTTCAACTCGCCGGGACGAGATGGGGAGGAAGCTGGACCTCTCCAAGCTAACTGATGAAGAGGCCAAGCATGTTTGGGAAGTCGTTCAACGGGACTTTGATCTGCGGAAAAAAGAGGAGGAACGGCTGGAGTGAGTATCTGCTTTCCGGACCGCGAGGTTGGGTACAAGCAAGCCGTAGCCGTAGATCCCTGTGCGTCCTGTTGCATATGGGTTGTAGGAATAAAGCAACGCATTGAGGAGGAACAGCCAGGTTAAAATCAAACCCAGTGGTTAATAGATTACGTTATCAGCGGCAAGGTGACGCATTCAGGCTGCAAAGGTGCTAAATGGCGCTGTGCCATTGGCAGTGACGCGGATCGGTGTCACTACGACAGTTTATGGGGACAAATATCTGGCCCCTGCTCAGGAAATGCCTTTGTGGGGCTTGACACTAGCGTGGCTCTCACAGGGAGACCTTACCTTGGAGCAAAGAATGGGATTTAATCATAGAATAGGTTGGGTTGGAAGGGACCTCTAAAGGTCATCTAGTCCAACCCCCCTGCCGTGGGCAGGAACATCTTCAACTAGATCAGGTTGCTTGGCTCCCTTGCTTTTGTTTCATGTGATGATTCTCGTGTGTTTAGGACAGGAGGGGTATTCAGTGATTCAGTGGGTCCTGGGAGTCCACAGACTCCTGAAAGATCCTGGAAAAATAACTGAAAGGAGTAGTAAACCTGTTGTAGTAGCCTTAAATACGCTATACAGGGGGCCATGCTGTTCTGGGAAAGTTTTAAGGGGCCACAGATTGGGAAAATATTGAAAATCACTGGAGCAGCATATGGATGTATAGGGCATTTGACAAAAGTGCTGTTTAAAAAATGTCCAGTCAGATTAGATTAAATTTTGAGCATGAGGAGTTGTGGGTTTTTAGGCCTTGTTCATTACCTATATCAGGAATTGAACTTAATAATTTCTTAACTTTATTTCAAGAAGCTGCAGCGTCCCTGTTCAGGGTCTGGCCGTGTTCTCATTATTATCCCAATGGGATGGCCTGCACTCCCAGGCCAGGTTTGGGCAGTGCTGCACCCCCACCGAGCCCTCATACGCTCCTAGCTCAAAATGTTGTGAGCCAGGGCTAGTTCCAACGGCACACTATTGCTCTAGGGACCATAAGCTCATTGGTTCCTCTATCAGACCCCAAGGAAAAGGTGTGGGGTGAGAGTCATCCTTCTTCATTTGGGATATCTGCATCTGAGCTGTCGAAGCATCCACCGAAAGCTTGCTGTCATGGGTTTCCATGAAAGGCTGCATGGGAGCCTCTCCGTTTACACCATTAGCCATGAGAAGCTCTCAGTCACATATTTTTGAACCTCCTGATTATTATTTTGCCTAAGAAAACCCAGCCTGTGTGGGAGGTAGAGATAATTCCATATCATAATCTGCTGCCTTCCTCTGCTGGTAGCTCTGAAGTGCAGGACGGAGACCAGACAAGGGTGTTTAAAAAAATTATCACCCTGGAAAGGGTGAATGTCTGCCTTGTGATGGATCTGAGCTCTGCCTGGAGGAAGGATGTGGGGATTCATGTTGTTGTGCCCTGCAGCAAAGAAGTGGGCGAGGTGAATTCCTTACTTACTTGATCTTGGTGCCAGACTGGCTTATCTGGGTCTGCTCTGATGCCCAGGAGGCTCCCAAACTGAGTGCCCTGGTATGAGAGGTGCAAGAGGGTGTGCAAGATAGGGGGAAGGTCTCAGGATGCTTCTACCCTGCTGCTGTCTCCCCTAAGCAATGTTCCCTTTGACCCAGCAGTCCTGGGTTGTTTTTTTTTTTTAAATTTGCCATTTAATCCTGCCCTGCTGAGGGCTGGCATTAACCCAGCAGTGCCTGGCACTGCCCAAGTCTCTAGGGTAGAGCATGTTACCTGATCCAAGGCTTGGTTGCCTCTCTCTGCAGGCTCAGCCACAGCCAAGTCCATCCATCAGATATTTCTGTAATACCTGGCATAGACCAGACCACCAGTATGGGAAAATCTGCCACGCTCCTGCATACCGGACACGGAGCTACGTGAGCATTTTCTGCCTGTAACAAGCTGAGACATGATGTGAGGTTATGGGAGACCCTGCAGCTATTCACGCTGCTCGCTGTGCTCTGACCATCCTCATTTGCTTTTTTATTCATTTGCTTTTCTATTCACTGGGCTTGTCTCAACCTGCAAGCCTTGAAGAAATGTCCCCCGCCAGCTTGGTCATCTTCTCCCCTTTCTGCTACTTCTCTGTGTTTTCTTTTTGGCAGAAGCTATTCACTCACAACAGACAAAGGCTTCAGCTGGCCAGAAACTGCATAACCATGCGAGGGTAATGCTTTGCCCAAGAAATTAAAAAACGTTCACTTTGTGGGGGCTCTCCCTGCTTCTTTCCATAAACATCCCTGCCAGCAACCCCCTGTTTTTGGAATGGCTCTCCTGGAGCTCAGCTGGACCCTGCTGAAGTTTGGCATCCCACTGCCGCTGATTTATTCTACCATGAGCAGAGCGGAGAAAGGACTGGCTTGCACTCCTGCCAGCAAGAGGAGACAAGAGGCATGCAGTTCCTTCAGGTTTTAATCTGGTTTGGCTGAGACTTGCCCTTCCTTCGGCAGGTCTCGTGGACAAGGGAGGGGAGGTGAAAGGATCCAACCAGTCTCTGGGAACCAGAAAAAGCAGTCCGGTGAAAGATGGGATCCTTCTGGAAACAGCCTGAGCATGGGGTGGAAAAGGAGCACTGAGCCCAACCCAAGGGTTTTCTATTTGGGGGTTTGTTTTTAGTAGTCACATATAAATTTACTGCTAGACATTTGCACTAGGTCATTCGAAATACTGCTAGGATGGTGAATAGCTGAGTATAAAAACTAGGTGCCCAGTTCAGTCTTTATACTGATTTTTATGTGTCCCAGATCCTCAGTTAATGCAAGTTGGTATCACTCCAGTGTAACAGCAAACACAGCCTGGCGTGCTGGCAGTGAGCTGGTGATAAGTCTTCCCCAGAAAAAATGAGAGCTGATCCCTAATGTGCAAACTGATTTGGTTAAACAGAGATTAGCTTGATTTACATTCATATAGTTCCCACCACCAGCCACATCGCTGCTCCCATGGACGTCCCAGCACCACGCTGCCATGCCAGCAAGGCTCCTGCTGTGGTCACCTCCGTGTCAGCCCGTCTCCCCACTGCCTGGAGGGCACCGGAAGCATCACCAGAAGCCTCGTGGTCCACGCTGTACTCCTGAAGCAGCCTCCAGACCTGATTGCTTGGGTTTTTTGGCCCAGGCTGACTTCTGCTCCGGAAAATGCAGATTCCTAACCCTGCCTAGACAGAAAACAACCTTCTAGGACCTTTCCTACAAGTCAAACATTGCCTCTCAGCCATAGCCCCAAAGGCAAACATACCTGAGGTAGCATGGGGCATGGAGAACAAACAGAAAGCCTTTGGGTAGCGCAGGGGGCCCCTGCTGGCTCGGCAGCTGTTTTAGGTGGCCCTGGCTGTCGCTGGGGGTTCAGCCTCGCACAGGCACCTTCTTGTGTGGGGACCTGCTCTAACAGCTGGGTCTGGATAGTGAAGAAAGCCCATAGCGATGGAGTTCCAGGAGAAGGTGCTCTTGGAAAGCGCTCACGTTGGCCGAGCTTTCTTGGGACCATCATGAGCATCTCCTCCAGTTGCTGTCCTCTGAACAGCCAGGACCTCATTGCACATCACTTCTGCCCTTAATAAAAGTCTCTGCTGAATTTAGCACTGAAGGACTAGATCAAAACCCTTTTTAATCCTTTTTTAATCTCAGATTGCTTTTTTTTTTTTTTAAACTGAGAATTCCAGAAAGCTTTTAATTCCCAGCTGGACTTCAGGATCAAAGGTTGTGTTGGGTTGGGATGCAGCCAAAGACTTTGAGAAGAGCCACTCTCCTGAGAATCCTGGGATTTATGATCAATACCCTGTGAAGCAAACAAGACAGGTTTTGGCACAATCAAATCTAATCTTAAATTTAACAGCAGCAGATCCTAATGTATAGTAACCTGCCCTGAGTCTGCAGCCCACTTCTTTGTTCAGCTTATTTAACTCATGATATGTTATTTATTAGATTTGCCCTACAGCTGTTTCCACAATCTGCGGGACTCGGGATGTTCCCTAGAAAATCGTTCCTGAAATGATGGAAGCATGACGGGGTTTGCCACGTGAAAGTTTGCAGTAAAATGCTAACAAAACCAAGTTCCTGTGTTTTGGGATGTTTTCTGCAGGGAGCTGAAATGTAAGATTGACCAGGAGAGCAGCAAGAGAGAGTTTCTCACGAATCAGTCCCACCTCAATGAAACCCACTGCATCCACTGCCTCAAAAAAAAAACAGCAAGCGACAATGCCTGGACTGCCGCTTCTACACCTGCAAGAACTGCAGCCGCTACAACAAGAAGGAGCAAGGTTGGGTCTGCGATCCCTGCCGTATCTCCAGGTACCACTCCTGTGATGGAGGGCAAGGGGCAAGGCGAGCCTCGGTGCTGAGGCTCAAGAAGAGTCACCCAAACTCAGCTTCCCTTTATGTTGGTTGGAAACCAATTATGCCGATTAGAAAACAGGCTGTGTTTTTGTTAAGAGACAGTTTCTGGGTGAGGGTCTGGTCACCATGAGCATGGCTGGGCTGGCTCACCTGTATGTGTGTCCTCTCTTTGGGCAGGATAATGAAGATTGGTTCCCTGGAGTGGTACTACGAACACGTGCGATCCCGTTTCAAGAGGTTTGGAAGTGCCAAAGTGCTGCAGTCCCTCTACGGCAGGCTGCAGCCGGGGCAGGGGGTGAACTCTACATTTCTAGGTGAGGAGGAGCACCGGGGTTTCTCCTGCCCTGCTGCATGCAGGGGCTGAGCAGGCATTGGGATGCATCAAGTGAAGAACATCAGCATTGATGCCACTCTGAGTGCCATGTGGTTTTGAGACCATGCAAAACATTTTGGGGAGCAAGCAGAGGTTCAGAGTAGTGTGTTCATACTGGGAGCAGCAGGGCAGATGTTCTTGGTGGACTTTTTTTCCTCTGTTAAGGTTTAAGGTTTTACCACAGACTTGAGAATATCTCGTGCTTAGTTTTAAAAGTCACATGTCCTTCAGTTTGTAAGTATGTAAGGGTTGCAGCTCTTGGTTTTCTTTTAGCTCTTTTCATCACAGGGAGAGCTTGTGAAATTAACCCAAGTTTAACCTGCAGGTCCAAAACATCCAGCTGGCTGGATGAAGCCAGCACTCATTTTTTCCCATCATCTAATAATTTTTTCAGCCAATCTGATGATGCTCTGGCACTGGCAAAGCTGTATCAAAATTACAGAATCATAGAATAGTTTGGGTTAGAAGGGACCACTAAAGGCCATCTAGTCCAACCCCCCTGCCGTGGGCAGGGACACCTTCAACTAGATCAGGCTGCTAAGAGGCCCGTCCAACCTGACCTGGAATGTTTCCAGGGATGGGGCATCCACCACCTCTCTGGGCAACCTGTGCCAGTGTTTCACCACCCTCAGTGTAAAAAATTTCTTCCTTATATCTGGTCTAAATCTACCCCCCTTTAGTTTAAAGCCATTCCCCCTTGTCCTGTCGCAACAGGCCCTGCTAAAATGTTTGCTGCCATCTTTTTTATAAGCCCCCTTTAAGTACTGATAGGCTGCAAGAAGGTCTCCCCAAAGCCTTCTCTTCTCTAGGCTGAACAACCCCAACTCTCTCAGCCTTTCTTCATAGGAGAGGTGTTCCATCCCCCTGATTATTTTCGTGGCCCTCCTCTGGACCCGCTCCAACAGGTCCATGTCTTTCCTGTACTAAGGACTCCAGAGCTGGACGCAGTCCTCCAGGTGGGGTCTCCCCAGAGCAGAGTAGAGGGGCAGAATCCCCTCCCTCGACCTGCTGGCCACGCTTCTTTGGATGCAGCCCAGGATACGATTGGTCTTCTGGGCTGCGAGCGCACATTGCTGGCTCGTGTCCAGCTTTTCATCCCCCAGCACCCCCAAGTCCTTCTCGGCAGGGCTGCTCTCAATCCCTTCATCCCCCAGCCTGTATTGATACTGGGGGTTGCCCTGACCCAGGTGCAGGACCCTGCACTTGGCCTTGTTAAACCTCATGAGGTTCACACGGGCCCACTTCTGGAGCTTGCCCAGGTCACCCTGGATGGCATCCCGTCCGTCTGGCATGTAGACCACACCACTCAGCTTGGTGTCATCTGCAAACTTGCTGAGGGTGCACTCGATCCCACTGTCTATGTCACTGATGAAGATATTAAACAGTACCGGTCCCAATATGGACCCCTGCAGGACACCGCTTGTCACCGATCTCCATCTGGACGTTGAGCCATTGACCACTACCCTCTGGATGTGACCATCTAACCAATTCCTCACCCAAATTAGTGAGTTACCTGTCACCATAGCTATGATCTTCAGAGCTTTATAGATCTTCAGTATTTCTAAGATTGGTCCGATACTGCATAAATACATGCTGAAATCTGTTGTTAATATGGTATTATTTGCTGCGTAGCTGTTAGTTGACATCCATACAACTGCTGCACTGCTTTGTCTATTGCCTTTGAAAATCAATGTGGATTTTATTCCCATCTTGAGGAGCCACAGAGAAGTTTGCACAAATACCATAGACATGAGCTGATTCAACTGGTCCAATAGTTCTTTTATCCAGACCACTCATGGCAGAAATATCAGAAAAAGCGTGGAGGGTAGTGGCATTGAATATAAAATTAATGGACTGAGAGACAATTTATGCAGCGTTCAGTCTGAAAAATGCATCAGACCACACAGAAAGGACAATCCGGGAGAAAACCAAACCAAGCGTGAGGATAACAGTGCTTTAGGCTTCTTTAAATTGAGATTCTGGTGTCTTTTTCAAAAAGAGATGATTTTGTTGTTATTACTTCATTAACACCAGTGAATTGGCTTGACCGTTGAACAAGCACGAATCTCCTTGTGGGACGTATCTCTGGTTGCAGGAGGTACAGCAGAATGACGTGAGCCCATTGCATTTTGTGTGGCCATCTGCTGTTGGCTGTGCCTTCCCCTGCTGCTGCACTCCTAGGTGTGTTGCATCAGGACTGTGGAAGTGGTAGCAATAAGCTCTTTGACTTTTAAAAGTCAAGTCCTGTCTCCAAGTGCCTGGTTTTTTTTCTCTCTAAAGAGCCTTTTTGATGATTGTGCCTTGTGATGGCTAGAGAATGAGAACTCCAGTTAACCATAGCTCTGAGGCTTGTTTTCTGCAAGGTACCTGGAAAAAAAATGCTTATTTATTTTTCCCACCATTTTTCTTTTCATTTAGGTCTTCGTGACAGAGTTTACAGCCTGCCAGACATTAACAGTAAGTAGAAAAGAGAATTGCAGCATGTGGCTTGCAGTTCAAGAGAGGTTTCTGATGTCTTTTTCTCTTCACACCCTCTGGCTATGGGCACTCCCGTGCGGTTTGGTGTGACTGGACCAGGGAGGACATCTCTCCACTGTGGTGGAGGTGGACTGTAATGCTCATCTCTTGCACTGCGGTACACCTTGGGGTCTCCAAGGGTAGACTCGGATACAACAGGGCTTTTAGTTACATGCCAGACTTGAAGCTTGCAAGTAATCTCATCATCTCAATGCACCTATGTCATATGCTTAAAGCTGGCCATGTTCTTAAGGAACCCACTGAATTCGGGACTTCAGGTTGCGTTCCTTAGGAGCCCTTGCAGGAAAGATTCACTGCACCTTGCCATTTGATACAGGAAAGAGCATTTTGCCTACCTTGACTTTGGACTTGGTCTGGAATTTGTGCTGTTCCAAATGTACTGCTGGGCTTGGCAGTGATCTGGGTACGGAGATGGGGACCCAGAAAGGAACGGGTCACTGGTAGATAGCAGAGTAGATGATGGGAACCAAGAATAGCAGAAGCAGAGCCATGTTGGGCTGAGCTGTAGTGCTTTCAAACACTGAGGTCACCCGGGTGGGCCTTGGGGTGCTCTCTGCAGTGCAGGTGCCCTTCATCTTCCTGCGGTGGTCACTTCCACATCTGTGATGGTACACAGCTGAAAGGGAAAGCAATGAGAGGCCAGCCCAGCTTTTGCAAGATCAAGTGCTAAGAGTGGGTATCTGCAGTGTGGCCTGGGAACTGCACCCCAAAGAGCTTCTACCCTACAGACCTTAGACTGTGGTCACTGCGTGCCAGCTGCAGCACTGGGGCTACCTTAAGATGTCCCTGTCTTTTTCCCATCCTTTGTCCCCTTCCCTGTACTTGTGCAACCTACCGGCCATGGTATAGTACGCAAAAAATTAAAAAAGAAAAACAATTTTGGGAGGTATTTCTAATCTGGACCTTTTCACCCCATACAAGAAACATGGCCTCACCTACAGATGTATTGGTGTGACCACCACGGTGGGGACTTACCTCCCCCAGGAACGGGGTGCAGGAGCTGCCCATACACAGCGTGTGTTGTCTCCCCTCCAGGTGAATGCCAGCTCCTCACCAGCGGTGGCACTGGGGATGACAGTGATGACGAAGACGATGTCCTTCGTGGAGCTGAAGCAGAGTGCTACAGCAGAGTAAGCATTTCATTCTATGGCCCCTTCTGCCTCGCTCTGTGCCTTCAGCTGCTGCTGGCCTGCCTTGGGTGGTGGTGGTGATGGTGGTGGCTTTCTGTGCCACGTTCAAAATGGGGCCTTTCTCTCTGTTTTCCTTCTCTAAGATGAGCCCCTCTCCCAGTTTGCATAGAAACAACCAAGTAGGTAAAATCACAAATACTTGTCCTCTGAAAAAGAGACCCACTCTTGACACTCATGAAGTCCCTAATTAACATAAAACTCCCAGCTCCTACCCATATAATGAGAACCCACCTGTTTTTTTACTAGAAGAAGAGATACCTGGTAGAGTAGCAAAGCACAGCTGGGTTCATGATTGAGTTGTCTCCTGGGTTTTTCTGGGACTATGTGTTTGGATTGAAATGCAGATTAAGAACCCTGATAGAAAGTGTATTTATCCCTGCAGCATGTGTGAAATCTTCTGGTGTGTTTGAAATGCTGGTATGGTTACTTACACACTGTTATATACACACCATCTCAGCCTGCGGCTACGGGTATGTGCTGCATTTCACACACTTGATACTTCATTTTGATCTGCTTCTGAAGTCTTACAGGTTTGTCCAACCTGCTCCTGCCCCAAGGCAGGTCTGGAGAGATCTGCCCACAGCATCCTTTCTCTGAAAACACGGAGATGCTTCAGGACTCAAAAGCATCTCCTGGATCTCTCTCTGAGCTGTAACCTGGCTCAGCTTTCCCGTAGTGCCTTTATAAACCAGGACAGAGCTTCTCACTCTCTGCTTGTGGCCACAGTCCTGATCCAGAGACTGTGGAAATAAGGAACCCACTTTTCCTTGATGCCAGCATAAGCACACACTGCCCTATACACCTGGCTCCCTGCAAGCAGGACAACGTTGGATCCAAATTTTCTATGCAAAAAGCAGGAGCCTTGCTTTGGGCTGTGCAGACTCAGGCAAACGAAGGAGACAAGGGCCCTCCCTCCCCCTTTCTTCAAGGTCAACTGTGTTTTATGGTGAATTTTCCTTTCTTGCACTTCCTATGCTGACTAAGATGCGCAAGACAAAGCGCCTGCTGTCTGTCCATCCCTTTGATTTTGAACTGGACTCGGAGTACTCTGCTCAGTCTCGCCGCCAGTCTGTGCAGCTCTCTCCAGCAGCCAGCAGCCCGGATGCTTTCCAGGTACTGGGAGAGTGCTGGGGGGTTCCTTTCCTCTCTTCTTCCTCCTTGCTACCTCTGCTACCTCCTCCTTTAGCTGGTTTTAAGAGGCAATGGTGCCGATCTTCACTTCCCATAGCCCTGCTTGCTATCTCTTCTCCCATTTCAAGTCCTTTGCCTCAGGCTGAGTCAGGAGTAGGACATATGACTGAAGCGAGGATGAATGGTAAGATGAGCTAGCAAGAGGCTCTGCAGACAACAGCTTTCTTGTGTTGTCCCAAGGCTATGGGACACCCTAGTTTCCAGCGAGCTTTTGGAAGTTCAGTGCTCAAGGGACGAAATGAAACCACGCTCCTCTCCCATCATCCCGTCTGGTTTGGGGCTGGTTTTGCCGTGCGGTGGCATTGGGGATGTAGTTCGCTGGTAGCTTCATGGGACACACTACCCTTCTGAGATTGAGAAGATGAATCCTGCAGAGCCAGCATGACTGCAGGGACGGCACCTGCAGGGTGGGGATCCCCATCAGTCAGAGGGGAGAACCTGGGGAGAACAAAAACTGCATGAACGCTGGTTATTTCTATATAGGAGACTATATGTGTCTTAGTGTCAGGAGCTCCTGACCAGGAGGAGCAGGACCCACAGCCAGCTTTAGCCCCAGCAACTGCAGTGAGCTGCACCCTGTGATCCCAGCAAGGGCTTGGGTTCAGCCATCCCCAACTTCCAGCTCTGGGGAGCAACGTAGACGGGGCTGCCCTGGATATGGCAAAAGGTCTTCCAGCCTGAGGTGCTTCAGATCAAGCTTTTTGGGCTGCTCCTGTTTGCCTTTCCTGTTGAAATTTCACTTTTAAAACATTAAACAGCTCCTTCTTCCTTCTAATGATACTATGATACTTTAAACTCTATTCCTGGGTAGAATTAGGATGTGCTGAGATGTGTAACAAAGGCTTTAAAAAAAAATTCACGCCATTCCACATAAATTGATAAGAATTTGAGGTAAACAAGTAGATTCATTCTTTCTTTATCTAAGCCCATCATTATGCAACAGAATTCAACTTGAGTCTAGGGAGGACTGGCCTCTGTCGACATCATCCGAATTGGACTTATTGATTGCAGATTATCTGAGGGGCAGAAGGTGGCTGTTGTTTGAATAAGAGAAAAGGCATGGTGTTTTAAATGACCAGAGCTTTTTGCAGCCTAGCTGAAGGGACTCTGCCTAGTTCTTGTAAAAATTAACAGTGCCCCCTGGCAGTGATGAGAAGTATTGCTCAGGGTTCATCAGCAAGATAAATAAGGCTTTAAAATGGATTATTAGGAATTGGCATTATAAAAGGTCAGTCCATGCATGTATTGGAGGATAAAGCTAGGAGCTGTTAGCGACGGTCATGAGAGGCAGGGAGTCCTCATGGGCAGCTGCTCAGCAGCAATCCTCATCTCTCAGTCCTACCCAGATTTCCCCAACTCAGCTAAAGATGCCTCCCAGGAGTCCAGGATCGCGGAGGCGGATCTGGTCTTCCACCACGTCTTGCAGGAACAGGGACCAGGTGTGAGCCCTCCGGAGCAGCACTTCAGCACAGAGGTTCATCTCACCGTCAATTCACGGAGAAGGAGCCTGGAAAGAAATGTAAAACCTGGTAGGTGTCTCTAGCCAGGCTCCTCTTGTATCTTGGGGAAAAGTGGCTGCAAGAGTTGGACCAAAATGAAAATATCTTTGATTGTTTTGAACAACTTCAAAGCCACTAAAAGGCTGGAGTGTCAAGACAAAATATCCATCTGCAAAAGTGATTTTTTTTTTTCATGAGAGAATCGGCTGAAGTCGTTTGGTTGTAATGGGCTGGTTTTGTCCCCAGCAAACTCATTTCTCAAAGCCAGAAGGGTTGTTCTTAAGGTGTCCAGCCCTTTCATATCTGGAGGTCTTGTCCAGAGTAAGAACTAGGTACAATCAAATGACACTACTAGAAGCCAGACTAGAAACAATGGGATGCGTTTCCTCCTGCAGGCAGTGACAGAAGCATTGAACTCCTTGCCAAAGGATGTTGTAGGTGCAGAAGTTTTAGAGTTTTAAGGGGACTTGAACTGGAGTAAGACTGGACAAGAACTGGAGGCAAGCACTGGGGGTTGCTAAGTAGCATCCTTGTAGCTGGGCAGGGTGCACCGGCAGGCTGCGTGACCTGTGGTTTTGTGAGCCTATAAATACCCTAGCAAATGACAGTGCAGAATTTGCCTTTTACTGCTGTTGTTTTTCCTGCTGTGAATGCAGAGCCAGAAGGGTTGGGTACTGGCTTGTGCACATGCAGCTGTAGAATATATGTGTCCTTCTGGGTCGCCAACTGCTTGGTTGTATTTTCAAGTGTTTGATTTTCAGGGCACTAGGAAACACTGGATAAACCTTACTGTGCACTGTTTAAATTCCTACTCTGAGCCCCTCTGGAGCGACATAGCAGCAGGCCCCCCTGGCTTGTTAATTCCATTTTCTCTCATTGTTTTTGTCTCATTTGAAATTCTCCTTTAAAAAGGAGAAATTCCACTCTTTTAAATGCTCTGTCCTAGACTGGTACCTCTCTAGCGTGGGATAAACATCTTCCAGCACCTGAACGATGCATGAAAGGCAGTGTTCAAACCTGTGCTCCAACAAAACTGGAAAGGCAATAGCAGTTTTTGGTGAGGGGCCTGGCTGTTTGGGGCATGAGAGAGCAAGGATGATACTCCTTGTGCCCACTGCTATCTCAGCAGCGCCATGTGGGACCCTGCTGAGCTAAGTGCTGTGTGGCCACAGTGAATGGAGCTGCAGCCTTGCCCAGCATTGCCATCCTTAACCTTGGTCTCTCTTGCAGAAGCATCTCCTGCCAAAGGATAGAAAATGTGATTTGGAGAAGTGCTTCATTATTTTCTTGTCTTAAGGATGGGGCCGATGTCCGGGAAGTAACTCAGGGGTGTGAATCTCTTGTACTTTTGTCCTGAAGCCTTCTCTCTCCAAAGGCAGTCCCTGGAATGAGCAGCCCCGGTCCCGGTACTCTGCAGATATGGACACCTCTGACGAGGACATGAAGGGAGTCCAGTACCCTGCCTACCCTCCCCACCACATGAAACGCCGGAACAGAGCCTCCTCCCAGGAGAACCTCAGCCACTCTGGGAATCAGGTACCAAACAGCTGTTGAACTTCTTGTGAGACCCAGTCTGTGGCCAAGTCTCTCTTGCCATAAATGGCGCTTGTTATCCACGAGGTGCAGGATGGTGCAGGGTGGTTCAGAGAAGAGAAGCAGTGGTGGCAAACCAATGTAGTCTCCCAGCCAGGATGCACAGGGGCAGTTTGGTGCCCATGCTTCCCCAAGGGGGTCCAAGAGGGAGCAGAGTGTATCCCAGATCTCTGTAGACTCAAGATCCCTCTCTCCTCCTCTTCAGCTCAGGAACTGAAGAAGCTGGGAGTGTAGCCACTTTGCATTGCCAGAGCATTACAGAGAGCCTGTGGGATGACCTAGGAGCTGGCTCATCTAGGTGTGATGTCATGGTTGCGTGGCACTAGCAGGATGAATGCCCAGGCTATGTCCTGCCCTCCGTGTTGTGAGGGACCTGCCAAGGTGGTTGTGAAAGGGGAGCAGTGCTGAGACCTGTGAAAGTGTGTTTAAGGCTCCTTCATTCATTAAGGTGAGGAAGAATAGACTTTTCTCTGCACCATTAGGATGATGCAGAAGTACTCTGGAGCTCTGTGCTTCTTCTCCCAGGTCCTCCTTCCAGCCCTTCCACTTTTACACCAGTGGCAAAGAGAAAATCAGGCACTGGTGCTTCACTCTGCCCATGCTGCTGTCGCAGTAACAAGCCTGCCTTCATTGCTGTTAATTTTCCAGCCTGTCCTACCTAATCTACGAGTTACCTATGGTTTTCTGTGTCCCCAAAAAGGTCTTCTTCAATTGAATGTGCCAGTGCTTTATGATCAGACCAAGGTTTGGAGAGGGATATTTAATAAGCATCAAGATCCTTTTCTTCCTTTGCAGTGTGTAGTGTTCCTGCCCCAGTAAGACTGGGTCAAGATGACCTGTCACGTATCTCTCCTGAATGATGATAATAGGGGGAACAGTCTAGAGAAGGGTGTCAAAAAGGCTGAGAGCTTGTGTTTTAATTGTCAAGCAAGGACCTGCAGTTCCTGGTGCCACCTTTGCAAATGCTGGGTGGTGGGAATCGTAAAAAGCATCCCTCAGGCCTCTTAAGCTGCAAAATGCACAGTGATGTTTGACTACACAGATACATGGGGAGAGCCCGCTGCTCGTTTCTGCTCACAGCTGGTAATTTTGCACGTCCTGGACCCCCTTTGGGTAATCAGTGGGGGGATCTGTAACCACAACCATCCCTCAGCACCACACTCCATGTGCCTGTGCAGGGAAACCTTTCCTTTGCCTTTTACTTCTCTCAGCACATGTTTTAATTAGTAAATGCCATTCCTTTTTCAGTCAGCGGTCAATGGAAGAACCCTGGCCTGGGTGTCCTTAATGAGGCCACGGTATGTTAAGCATGAAATGTGCACCGTGCTTTGCAGTGGGGAAATGGGGCCAAATTCCTACCAACACTTCAGATGACTTCCTTCATCAGCTGGGCAAGCTCTCGCTTCAGGGCAGTCCGGCGTGCTTTGTGGTTTGCTCTGTCACACCAGTACGAAGGCTGCTGTGGAACCTTGTCACTCTAATGGTTCCGAGACGTCTTCTCACTCCCAATTTAACCCCATTTGCTCTTATGTGAACATTGCTCATTAGCTTAAATAGCTCTTCATCCTTCCTGCCCTTTGTGCTGCTGATGGGTTTACAGCTAGCAACCACCCTCCCGCAGAGCCTTCTCCGCGACCAGCAGGAAAAGACCCGGCTCTGTGCTGGACCATTAACTTCACAATGATGCACGCATGCATCACTGTCACCGTTAGCCAAGGAGAGGCCAGGTACAAGCCCCAAGAAGAGAGAAGGCAAGAACATCCAGGTTTTAGTGCTAGCCAGCTCTGTTGTATTGGCAGAGCTGGAAGAGGTTCAGAAGAGGCTGGTGTCTACCCTCTTGTCCTGAGGTTGGAGGAGACGGAGGGGCTGAGGCTGGCAGGAGGGCAGAGACAGGCCACGAGGGATGTGAGACAGCGAGCAGCAGACTGCGTTGTCCTGAGCAGCAAAGCAGTGGCTCTTGAGCTGCTTATAGGCACTTCCTGGGTATGTCATGTAGCCATCATCAGGGCTTCTGGGGTACCCCAGCCCCTCATGGGACATCCCAGGCGACAGCAAGGATGACTGAGTACAACTGGTCAGCCTGTCGCTGCACTTCTCAGAGGCTGTGCCCTTTGGCGATTCAAGATGTTGGCCTGTGGGGTGTAGGGTCCAGAAGCATGTTTGTTAACCCCCGTTAACCCTGTATTGAATCCCATAGCCTGGCTTCAAAAGCAACATTTTCATGGTAGATCCCTTGTTGGCATCTGAAGGTTTCACGAGGTGGAGAGCTCAGTTCTTTGCCCTGCATCACTTTGACTCCAAAGATGAAAACCCTCTCTCCTAAAACTGCCTTAGGTGCAAGTTTGTCAAAATATGTTTGATCTGAAAATCGCTTTTGCTTTAATTCTGGAGAGGTTACACTGTTCAGTCCCAAACACAAGAAACTTAACTTTTCCAGTAACAAAAGCAGAGGCTGTTCCCTAGTCCTGTGACTCCAGGAGCTGAAGGTGCTAGAACAAAATTAAAAAAAAAAAAAACCAACACTATTAAAAAAAAGCTTCTGTTAGAGGTCTTGGGTATTTGAGAGACTGGAGGCAGCACCTCTGCTAGAGTAACCTGTCTTCCCTCCCCAGCAGCAAGTGGTAGTTTGCCCTAACTGATGTCCTCCTTATGGGCTGTGTTTTAAGTTTCTTTGCTTTAAATGTTTTACTACAGAGCAGCATTTGCCAGCCTTTGTTTTGCAGAGAGCAGTGCAGGGTGGTCCAGCCCCTGATGGGGATGCACGCTAATGGGGTGACCGCCATGCATTAAAACTAGCCTTGCTTGGGAAGGAGAACAAAAGCAAGCTCTTCAGCTCCTATCTTTGTAGCCCATCAACAGCAGACCGTGCATTATGCTCTGACCTCTCTGAACATCTGTGTTACGGTGGCACGGTGGTGCCGGGTGCTCAGTTCATCACCATCTCTTCCTCTGAAGCTGGTGGCCCATCACAGACTTCTCATTGTCACCAAGAGCGATGCAAGAGTCAGGCCTTAAACAATACCGAGAAACCACTTAAAGATGGATTGGATTGCTTCCTGCCTGTGGGTTTAATGCTGTTTAAAGATGCATTTAGTTCAGGACGGTAATTACGGCGCTCTGCTCTCTGTAGTATCAGGTTTCCCTGACATCTTCCCTTAAGCAGATGCAATCTCTCCAAGCTGTTGTGAGGATCTAATTAATTGAACACTAGCAAGCACAAAAACTAAGTGAGAGGATGGAAATGTTATAAAAACAAAGCCAAGCCCTCACATCTCTTTGTTACTGCATTTACTTACTGCATTTGCTGCTCATTCTCGTTTGAATGGGAGGCAGCCACTCAGAACAGCAGTGATGTGGGAGGTAGTGTTATAAAACGGGCAATATTTCTCATCATTTGTGTTTTATTTGTTTGGATGAAAGGAGAAACACTTTTTTAAAGAAAGCAAAACTTCAATTTCTAAAGGGGCGGGGGGGGGGGAAGCAAAGCTTCCTTTAATGTTTTCAGTGATTTAACCACAAAAGTTTGTCTTGGCTTTTGAGCATAGAAAGTAACTTCTCTTTTAATTTTCAGGATTTTGTCTGTCCTTCTCTTTTCTTCTCTTCATGCCCCTTTTTTTAGTTGGAAGAGTGAGGGAGAAAAGAGGGGCAAGCATCTTGGTAAATCAATGCATGGAGAAGTCAGAAAATTTCAAAGTGTGTGTGGGAAACTTTCAGTTTTAGTTTTTCTATCTGGAATTTTTCATGGGAAATTCTTACCTCCTTCCCTCTTCCTTTCCAGCACTGTATTGGCAGGGGGATGATGGGCTAGTAGCTGCTTGAAAAACATGTTAGTAGGAAGTGAAAATTGATGCTGACTTGAATTTGGGGCAGCATGCGAATGATGGCAAGATAGATGGCTTTGTTACAGCCTGGTGCTTTTGTCTGGACAAGGTGTCAGTGAAGTGGTTTTATGCTCACTGTGACCTATGCTTTGGGGGGAATTGTGGTGTGCTGGGTACTCAGCATTGCTTTGAGTTTTCCAGATTTGAGGAGAGGCTGTGCACCTCCTGGAGCTCTTCAGGGTATCCAGGGACATTTTTTTAAGACATTATTTTTTAATGTCTTTTAGCTCAGCCCACTTGCTGCTCGCTTTCTTCTGCTGGTTGCATTGTTTTCTCACTGTCCTGGCAGTGATGGCTGGTCTGTTCTCTACTCCTTCTCTCTCTCTCTCTCCTTTCTTCTAGATTCATGAGCTCAACAAACG